GGTGGCATGGAGGGCCTGGGCCAGAGCTCTTAGAAGCTGAGAACAATTGTAGAGAATGATACTTTCTCCCTAGCAGAAAATGAAGGAAAGGGTCCCAAGTCATCCCATGTCTTGAATTTTGATCTGTGCTGTTTTTGTACTGCCTGAATTCTCTTCCCTTTAGCTTTTAGGTGCCTTGCTGGTCCTTTTGATAACTCAAAAGCCAAATGGTCAGTCTCTCTCTTTCTGCCCAAGGCTGGTAACATGACTGACGCTCTGTGGCCTTCCATGTATTGACCCTGGCTTCCCAGTAGCATCAAGGCCTTTTCTCCAAGAGGGAAGCCTGCGTCATCCACAATGGCCTCTGTGGGCCTTTTGTGTGAAAACCCTGGCAGATCAGATATCTTTCAGCACTATGTTTCTTGCCAAGGCAGATGGCATAGACCAGGGGTCAGCAGGGGGCCGGTCCACTGTCCCTCAGACCTTGTGGGGGGCCAGACTATATTTTGGGGGAAAAAGAGAAAAAGAACGAATTCCTATGCCCCACAAATAGCCCAGAGATGCATTTTAAATAAAAGCACCCATTCTACTCATGTAAAAACACACTGATTCCCGGACCGTCTGAGGGCTGGATTTAGAAGGTGATTGGGCTGGATCTGGCCCCCGGGCCTTAGTTTGCCTACCCATGCCTTTGGTGGATGAAACTTTCTTTCTAGACTACTGGCACTTCCTGAAAGTAACCACTGCACCACATATAGAGTGAATGTTTGCGTGTGGTGTTTTTTAATGCTGTAATATGTAGTGTCTTTAGCAAAGCTTCTTGTCAGGCCTGACACTTTTGGGGAGATGCACCAGCTGAAATTCATACTGATAAAATTATTAAAATTCATCTACTTATAGGTACAGGGTCACATAGTGAAAAGTTAAACAAAGATAATTAAAAATATTTCTGTTTAGTATACTGTTATACATTCCACACAGAATTTTTTTTACTCTTAAGGATTTTGTTGCAATGCTCAGAAAACAAAAAGAAATCACATTTCTAAAACTGTGTATAGCCAATTATTTTACCCTAAAAAATATCTGTTGTGGTCTAAATGTTTTGAGAACTGAAGCGTGAACCTTAATGAACAGCTTTCAGTAATTAAAATACTCATTCTTTGTCTCTGCTTTTATGTTACTGCACAAGCTCCATTAAGTTTTCCCCCTTTTATATTTTACACTAATACTTCTCCAGAAGAACTATTCAGATTTAATCTTAAGGGCAAATATGATCTGTATATATTGAAGCATCCAATGGTCTCTGATAGAATATAGATTTCAATGCTATGTTCTTCACTCCGAAGTGAACTATTCCATTATCTAAGGCTGCTGCACTTAGCCTAGTATAAAGCAAAACTGAACACTTTTCAACCCAGAACCTGACCCATAACATTGATGGGATCATGGACCAAACACCATGAGTTTATAAGTCCTTTGGTCTCTATTATTTGCTACAGATGTATCATTATTTGCTAGAGATGCTCAGTGGAAGAGAATGAGAGAAGGAAAAGCTGGCTTCCTCCCACTGCTATGACTCATTTTCAGATTCGTCATTCAACACACACATTATACTAAGTGCTGGTAGAAGCCTCGATTTAAAGGCAAAAAGCATCGTTTCTCCTAGTGACCATCTTCCCATGTGGTTTTCATGGCTCTGTACCATCTCTGAAAACAAGCACCTTTGCCTGTGATTATGCTAGTGAAGGATAGGAGGTGAAGTGAGCTTATTATCCCCATTTAGTACTCCCAAGTGTTCTGCAGCCAACTTTAATTGTTATTTAATGATTATGTCTGCCTCCAGAAGGATCAAATGGAAGTTGGGGAAAGCTCATGGAAGCAATCAATAACCCTGCCTTCTCCTTACAAAGGAAAGAATTAGCCTCTTTTGATGCTCTGGGTTGCTGCTTCCAAACACAAAGAAATGTGTAAAATGTGATGTTCGGTCTTGCATCTGGAATGAATCTGAAATAAGTTGAGAGCCCCGGTTTTGGATAGTGGGAAAGTATTGGGAAGAAATGTCAATATTTGGGTCCAGAACAAATCTTGTTGCTGGTCTCAGTATATGCACACAAACACTTTTCTGTATTATTTCTAAGACTTTCTATATCCCCCAACCCCTCCCAGTTTCCAGCTGTTTTCTCATTGTGCTATTAGTAACTATGAGCCCATTTCTCACCTGGTCTTCTTCTCCACCACCTTCTTCATCATACTTCAGGATATTGTCTCTTACATCATCTTCAGGGTCAATGAGCAGCTGTTTGGCCTGACGTTCCTTATCACGACGTTTCATCCAAACAACAAACAGCAGAACCAGAACTATAGGAGGTGGAGAAGAGCAAAAGCAGATGATATTAGCTCGTTTTCAGATTACTACTGTTTTAAAAACACATGGGGACCCTGTGGTCCTTCACAACTTCATTCACCCCTGATCACTGGCCATGAGGCTGATGGGAGGTGGAGTACAGTAACATCTGGAGAGCCAAAGGTTCTCAATCTGTTTTAGAAGATGCATGAAATTAGTACATTCAATACTAATGGCTGATTTGCATTTTAAAGATCTCAAGCAGGGTAAGGAGAAGAAAACTACTGGATGCACATGTCTTTGTAAAGTCTAAATGGTCAAATGCAAATCTGACATATACTGTATGTTGGTGACTTGTGAAAGTCAGTTGATAGTTCACGACACTCAACTAGTGTGATGTATCAGTGGAGTATGAGGAGCCCCAGCGAAGTCTTCAGGGATTTCCTACTCCCAGCAGAATAGCTTCTTCCAGAGTCTCTGGTTAAGGGACCAACTTCTCTCCCACCCACATCAAAGCAGCACAGGGTTTATTGTGTCCAGCCACAAGACAAAGCTAAACACTACTATCTACGATACACAGTCCTTCTGGTCTTTGAAGTAAAGATACATATGTACAGAGAGATGTACTAACGCTATCACCATGGTAGCTATATAGGCTCCAGTTAATTCTGAATCTGATCCCTTGTGAAGATAACTTTCAAAAAGAGGCCATGAACTGAAACTCTGCCATGGAATGATCAACTGCTCACCATTTCCAAATGCAAAGAAATCACCTTATAGTTGTGATGAAAGCAGTTCAGAAGCTACAATGAGTGTAGAAACGAAGCAAACTAAATAACCCATGTGATGGCCTGCCACTCATGGAAAACAAAATATTCCATTAAGGGGTTACTAGCTTTAGAATGTCAGTGGCGATCACAGTATACTGTGGATTGCCTTTTCCCACAAGAACCAAACCAGGCTTTGTGATTATAATCTGAGGCCTTTCTTTGTGTGCCTCCTCCATGAGAAGTCTGGAGGATGGCAACATGAAAACAGGCATTTTCTGCAGCTCCCTGTTTGTGGAATGTTCTCCTCAGGGAGGCTTGCTTGGCACCTTCGTTACATATCTTTAGGCTCCCAGGCATCTGGCTAATTAAATAGTCCATGGCCTTTTAAACTGGGGGGGGGGGGGGGTAATTGTTTTCATTTGTTATCATGGTATGTATTTTTGTGTTTTTATATTGTGTTCCGCCCTGTGACCCTCAAATGAAGGGTCCTATAGAAATTTAATAAATAATAATAATAGTTCTCGACGGACCATTAGTAGACCATCTGCAGACACACAAATCTATAGCCTATCCTTTGGAAAGACCCTATCAGTTGAAACATGTGTCTTTGCATCTTACTTTACGAGGCACTACATATCACTGGTCACATGGCCCCAAGACTTACCGAGTAGTATGATGATGCAGAGGAGAATTGCAATGATGGCCCCTGTGCCCAGCCCTGCACCTACAATCCTGTCGGCATCAGTGCAGTCTCCATTTAAATCACATTGGCAAACTTTCACCTTCAAAATAGACGTGCTGGACTTGGGAGGATTCCCAGAATCTGTTATTATTATCGGAACGTCATAGATGCCAGCCTCAAGGTACTTGATCCTCAAAGCCAGTTGGGCTCGGTCACCTGAACAAGAAAACAAGCTATGTAAATATGCTTTATGTGGACATGAAATGGCTGGAGAAATGTCTGTTCTAGGCCCTCAGTTTTCCACTAAGTTATAGTCATGTAAGAAAACCAGAGTATGTGGATTCTAACCTTTTAAGTTAGTCTCTCTGATGCCACAAACAGAATTAGGGAGCAATCCTAAGTATGGGGAACCAGTGTTAAGCTGGCATAATGAACACCAGTTCCAAACTCTGCTCACAATCTGGGCTACTGCTGGCTAAGCCAGCCTAAGCCAGGTAGAAGGAAAACAAACCTTTAAAAGAGAGTTTGACTTACACCACCCTTTTCGCTTCAATTAAATTACACTGGGTTGCCAGGTCACGTGCCCAAGCAGATGGGGAACTAGCTACTGAACATAACCCCCAAAAGATGCAAATATTCATTTATCAAAAAACCAATGCACATTACCACTAATACGAATAATGGTCCAGTTATTCCTAACACTGGAAGGATGATGTGGCAGTTCAAAGGCAAAGGGCCCGGCATTTGGATCAATGTCATCGTCTATGGCTGTGATGTTTGTTGCATTGGGTTGCAGTGTTTGACAAGTTGTGGCTTCTTGAGGATCCACTCGGGGAGCATTATCATTGATGTCGAGGAGATAGATTTGAAGTGTGCCAGTCCCACTCATTGGAGGGATTCCTTATAGAACAAGGAAAAGTAACATTAGCCTGCTTTCTACTAAAAAGGGGTTACATTAAAAAGGGGGTTACATTATTTATTGCACATATACAAACACATGGATTATGAGTGCCCATGATAATATTAATTATATAGATTTGTTGCAAAGCGTAACTTTGCTCTGCAAAATTAGGGTTGTGTTGAAACTAGGAAAGGGCATGGGAACTCTTTGCAAAAGATTTTCACCTCACTGCAAAAAATACTTTGTGGAATCACAGAATCGTCAAGTTGGAAGTGACCCTGAGGATCATCTAGTCCAACCCCCTGAAATGTAGGAATATTCAGCTGCCCTACACAGGGACTGAACCTGCAACCTTGGTGTTATCAGCACCATATTCTAGCCAACTGAGCTATCAAGCTTCCAACATCGACAATTTTTCCAGAGTGGGAGCAAACAAGTGTGATAATTCAGAATAAAGGCAAGTGAGCACAAAAATAAAATGGAAGCTTGGTATCTCTGATAATGAAAAAAAAGCAGCCGGCTGGCACTGCAAAAACAATAAAAGCAACACCTGCCTATGAACAGGAAATAGCAAGCAAGCAGTTCAGACTGCTGCTGGATGGGCCACACTATTAGGTTGCAATTGTGCGCTCCTATGCAGCATGGGAAGGTAAGGAGACATCTAAAGTGTGGGGAGAATGATTGGAGAAGAGGCTTTAGGTGGCTGCTGGCAAATCAAAATAAAGAGCAAGTATCAACAAAGGTGGACAACCATTTTGCCCTCAAGGGCCATATGTGGAGGTCAACAGGTGGTTGGGGGATGTGTTGATGGAACTGGCTATAGGTGTGGCTTGTTACATACACACACACAGCCTTTACCTCTCCCTTCCCCCTCCCTCTTAAAAAGTCCTCCAGCATGTTCCTATGCTGCCTCTCTCACCTTTATGCACTTTTCCAAACTGAGATAGGCACCATAGGTGCAAGGGAGGATGAGCCTTGGAAACATCCTCAGTTGGAAACATACTTAGAGCTGAAGCTGTTGCAAATGTTAGTCTATGGAGTTCTGCACACTGAGGATCTGCAGTTGAGGGTAAGGAAGGTGGCCAAGGGATATGCAGGGGGACAGGGAGGCCCAGAAGGCTGCAGGTTGTTCGCAACTGATCTATTTAACACCTGTACAGAAAGAGTCTTTTGTGTACCACACTCTATTACGATGCTATACTTTAGTGCGTATTTATATCAATATTTTAGCGTGCCCCCCTCTGGTGAAAAAAATGGTACAAGAACAAGCAAACAAACCTTTGATATTAGGTACATACCATTGTCTGAGGCAAGGAAAGTAGCATTATACATGTTGTTTTTCACGTGTGGTGACTCTCTGTCCAGAACACCAATTGTTGTTACCTGACCATTAATGGAATCAATCTTTAGCCAATTAGCAGGATCTGAGAGTTTTGAGTACCTGCAGAAATTTAACAAAAACACACACACCACATTGATTTCCAATGTGCTTTATAAAATGAAGAAGAGAAAAGAAGGGCTCGCCTCAAGACCAGATGGTTGTTAAGGATTTATACAGATTCTGCTGATCAAGAGTCTGCCTTTTTTTTTTGCATTCTTAGGTATACACACTGGGTGAATGCTGTATAATATTTAAAAGACTTGCCTTGAAAGCATTATATAACTATTTTACATAAATGTTACATCACTGGCTATCTCTGATGAATTACTAAACTACATTATTTGGTTGTTTTGCAAATGCAAACCCACTGCATTTTGATATAAATACCAGCTGCTTGGGACTGGGTTAAGGGTTAGTGGGACTCCAATCCACAAAGTTTTTAAAAGCCCTCATTTACACATAACCTTTCTGCTCCACTGGAACACATTCAACCTAGACTGAACCCAACTGAAAGACAGTGTGATGTTTCGAGCAGCACTAATGCTTCAAGCAGGTTCCTGGCAAGGAAAGGTGAAACTATAATATGGAAGGAGGGAAAGGTGACAAACAAACAAAATTAGAGAAAGATGGACTAATGGAAGAGAAGTACCTAGCTCTTAATGTGCTTCTTTGTAATCATGGCAACTTTCTCAAATGGTATGCAAGTTTCCCCTATTCAGGGGAACATGTGCAAACATACATCCCAATCTCATCCCATCAGTCTGATCTGATAAACCACTGTGTGGCTGCTACAGTATGTTCGATTAGGTGCAAGAATCCCAACACCTATATACAAGGTAACAGAGCAGATGCTGGCCCTGTTGTCTACCCTCTAAGCCTTGCAAAAGAACAGGCATGTCATGCTAGGGCTACTTCACCGGTAGGGAAACCAGAAGGTAGCATTTCCTCCGACCCTGTTGCACAATTTCTTACGAAGCATGCTAAGCGTTCAGCTGCACAGACTAAGCAGCTGTTGGAAATGGCTGGAGATAATGAGGACATTCATGTATCTGTCCTAGAATTCCAACTCAGCTGGCTGTTAGGTATTTAAGCAGAAGGCAGCCTAATTAGCATGACGGCTAACCTGTTTAAAGTTAATCCATTTTGAGGCTTGCTATGCTATCAAGGCCCAAGATGACACGGGGGGCATGCAGTGAGCCAGTGGAGAGAACAGACTTCGGAGTACTGAAAGCACCGAGCCTTGCTATTTCCAGCCCCCCACATTTTCTGCAATTCTACCCAGGGTTTGTGCAGGTGGGCACACTGGACTAAATGCAATGGGGCAAACGTTGCCTTTTAACTGCCTTGTTCTGGCAGTGCTACAAGGCTCATGCATAGAGATTTTGATGCATAAGGTTCTCACGTACAGAGATTTATAAAGGTATAAGGCCGTTGCAGGCCCTACTGTACCTTAGAGTAGTCTGCTGCATGTAACGATCAGGGTCCTGAGCAGTGAAGGACGTTAAGACCTTGCCAGCAAGTAGCCCTTCTTCCTGACGCACGAGCTTTGTGACTGGGACAAAAATCGGGCTCTCATTCACATCAATAACTGTAATGGATACAGTCGCCGTTGATTGAGGAGGATGCTGAATTCCTTTTGCCAAAGGCACTTGGTTTTCTGCAGCTACTGTCAGTACAAACATCCTATTGGTCTCAAAATCAATAGGCTGGCAAAAGCAAAATGAGAACTATGTTAGTGGTTGCATTTGTCATGGGGCTGCAGAATTTTTCAACATTTTAAGCAGACAGTTTATCAGACATGTTGGGGGGGGGGTAAAAACATTTATTTATGGCCTACAAGGAAAATATTACTTGCAGCTTCTTGAAGTAATTTCTGTCTTTAGGGAATTGTAACTGAAAACACAGGAGCCATGAGCACTGGTCTCAAACTTGCTCCTGAAAATTAAATTGCCTCTTCCATTGTGTTGTGTCCTCCTTCAGGGCTGCACTTCCTGGGGGGGGGGGGGAGGGGGATGCTTGCCCTTATATCTGCACTGATTTTGATGGACCCTGGGTATTAAATATTCTGCTGTCTAGGGGTATAACAAATTATCATTAATATTTGCCTTTTTTCAGACAATGGGATTTGCAAAATGAAACTTTAAAAGCAACCTAAAATATACCTAAAACAAACTTAACTACTTCAGAATCCTGTAAGTTTCTTTTAGATTATAACTGCATTATGGCACCTTGGGCTAAAGAACGGCTGAATATATTTTCTCCCTACACAGCTTATGCTGCTGAAATCAAGGCATGGAAATTTTTCATGGAAACTGGCGAAGGATTGCTTACTACAATACATCTCCATCAGGAATCATTAAACTGGATTAGAGCTAATAAGGGCTTAGCACTTCTCTTGGGAGATTCCACAACATTTAATTTATTTACCTAGTTTTACCTTTTTTTTTTTTTGCCTCTATTCTGACAGTTTTAAAATAAAGAATTTAATTTGAAACAAACTGAGCTGCTGCAAGCAGATTATACTCTGGAGGCTTTGATTTGCTTCTCTTTGGTTTGATTTCAGTGTCTCTGTTCTGTTTTCCATTTCAGAGCATTCTAGTTTGGAACTGCGAGTACATCATTTGCACACAAATACAAAACACATCATCATGTGCTTCTTATTGGCAGAACCTGATACAACTGGTACCCTTGGAAATGTGCAGCTACAGAATCTAGAAACATGTGGAACAATGGTTGTGGCTCTCTTAGAGCATAATTCACATTCCACTAAAAAAAAAATGTATTCAATTTTCATGGTTCAAAAATGTATATTCTATTGAAAATCATAAGGATGCCTATAATATCCTACTTATTTGTAATTTTCAATGCTTGAATGCTGGCATGAGCCATAAGAGTCCATGTTGAGATGATAATTTAGGTGTATGAAAATACAGAAGGTCAGAGGACTGTTCCCACTATCATACACAGACATGTGTAGATGATATCAACAGCAGCAGCAACAACAACAACAACAACAGCACACACACACACACACACACACACACACACAGTTGCTGCTTTTTAGCACCTGAGCATGTACAAATGCAAATGTAGCCTTTAAATACTGGGCTGTAGCCTTTTAACCATTGGTCTTCAGAGGTTCCAACTACACATGATAGTGGTAGACTGGCTTGTTAAATTGGTGAGTCTAATTTTAAGAGCAAAATCAGCTCTCAGATGGAGAGGGCTGTTGGTTTTCCTCTCCAATCTCTGTCATCCAGGCTCCATCCCTTCAATCACACTCTGCTACTGGAAGGAAACACTAGTAGGCCAAAAAGAAAGAAAGAAAGAAAGAAAGAAAGAAAGAAAGAAAGAAACCCTGGGGAGAAGGACTGTGGTGCATTCCTCTCACTAAAGCATCAATTTTGCTCTTTAACTCTCATCGGGACAGACTTGGGTTGAAACAAGCGTGCACACACGTTTGATCTTAAGCAGCATACCTTTGCATGCAATTAACTTCAAGCAAGTGCAATATCTGAGTCACAGAATCATAAATGTTTACAAAGGGCCAGAAACACATCAATCCTATACTTCTGTTCAAAATCAAGGCCCTGATTACACCAGCCTCTTAGAAGTGAAACTTTATAATCCAATTAATAATTGCTTGATAGTACACAGCAAGAGAGGACAGGAGTGCCTGGCATGCTCTGGTCCATGGAATCATGAAGAGTCGGACATGACTAAATGACTAAACAACAACAGTAACAACACAGCAAGAGCAAAGTAGGAGCAGTTCACATAACCTACTGTTGCTTGGTCTATATGTCCATGATATATCAGTTAGACTTCTTTAATGAAAGAGGTAATACTAAAATACCTTATTCATTTGGAGATAGTAATATATGCTATTGGAAACGGTTTGGGTATATACATTTTAAAGTTTAATTTAACTCAGCCTGAACATTCCATTTAGCAACAGTGCAGTTTTTAAAATTCAAAAACTACTCTAACTGATATATAGGTCTGCTATGAGATCAT